CATGCTTCTCTTAGGTTTCTCTTTCATTTCTATATCCTCCACTTTCAGGGTTATACACACGACGACACAGTCAATGAACTTGCACCAACTTTTTACAGCGGCCGTCTTAGGTGTTCCAGCTCAGAATGTTACTGTTAAGGTACTGACTTCGGCTTTTCGAGTTTGTAAGAATTTCACTTATAAAACAAGAATTATTGGAGCTATTAATTAGTTTATTCCAGTAAAAAATGAGGTGAATTATGAATGAATTGGAAAAATCAAAAAATTAAATACAATATAATGTAATAATAAACATAACATAATATAACCATACATTTTATATTCATAATATAATAAAATATGAATCATTGAGTGAGCCAAATTATTCATTAGATGACGATTAAAGTCTTTGGGCGCTGATCAATCCCGTCTGAGGGATGCGCCCCGCATTCGACTTCCATTCAAAACCGTAGTAGTGTAATAAATGCGTATGTAGCCTATACAATGACTTACGGCGGCCCGCCGTTGTACGAGTCAGTGTTGGTTCTATCCTTCCAGAAAAGTCTGGTACCAATTAGCCGACCCAGGAGGGATAGATGGCTTGGTTGACCTGAACGGATATCGGTTCTTCATTTTTATCCTTCACTTTCAAATTAATTAGATCAATTAAAAGCTGCCAAGAAAAAATTCACAACTTCAGATACTAGACTTGTTATTTATCCAATTTTAGACCATTTAGGTAATATGACCATCCTTAATTTTTCACTTATACTCGTAATCTGTACTTTTCCGAACTTTTTATAAGATTGTTTCTGTAAGTTCTTCATTCCTTTCAAATTTTATGTTCAGGTGAAACATGTAGGAGGCTCTTTCGGTGGTAAATACACTCAAAGTGCCCTGACTGGAGCTTGGGCAGCAGTGGCAGCCTATGCACTGAACCGTCCAGTCAAGGTTAGGCTGACGAGATTCGAAGACATGTTCGTCACTGGGAAACGTCATCCAGCCATGGTGAAGTACAAGTGAGTCCCCATAAAGTACTTTAACTATGAAAGTCTAGTGGAGACCAGTATTACAAGTCAGAGGTCAGATGAGTGAAATAGTACGAGCAGATTTAACAGGAAATGTTTAGAGTTGGAGTGAGTACAAGTGGTCTACTCCGTTGCGCATATCTAAAAGTGTATCTCGATGGAGGTTATGCTGTCGATACATCACATGTGGTGAGAATGGCTACTAGTTTGCTAGTACTACAGAACGTGTATGCACTTTTCTGAAAAAAAGTCGTCTTCTCGCCCGGAACCTTCATAGGTGGTAAAGAGTAGCAAGAATGACTTTTAGAATTTAAGATCGCTTATTTAGTTTACTGGATCATAGATTTTCTTCTGAAATGCTGAGTATTCGTTCATTCAATCAAAAGTACGGATCAGGAGGCGCGGCTGCTATAGTTCTCTTACGCGCGGTCGACGCGCGCGCGGGTAGCGCAAGCACCTTGCGTCGTCCGTGCGCTATGTTCCTGAAGTGTGATATTCTTCTTGATCTATTCACCGTGCACTATGACCCCTATATAGTTGTTTTGCCGTACAGCATAGTGTTCAAGAATAACGTCCCCATCCGATCGTCTGCCAATATAGCCGTAGAGTAGTGGGGTCCGTGTTTCTCTGTTTCCTTGTTCACACCTTACTACACAACAAGGTGTGAGCGAAAGTAGAGAGAATGGCATTCACTCAGAAGAATCATACTGATGTATCGATTAACTAGCAAGCGCGGCCTCTAGCGAGCGCGGCACAATTTGCCGTATCGATTGACCGGAGAGCGCGGCCGTAACGTGGCCCAATCTGGATAGATTCGGGCATCGACTTATCGAAACAATCTTTTTCATCAGTCTTGATCCGGTTCCTGGTATCAGATTTTCCTACCATGCTTCGTATTACTCTAGCTAAACGGTATGTTTATTTTGAAGAAAAAAATCGTGAAAAGAAAGTTGTGGCAGGCAAACTCTCGACTTGTTTAAGAGAAAAGTATGTTTTTTGTAGGAACTTTTATGGCAATAATCATGCCGTTTTCCAACTAGGAAATGCTATTCTAATACGTTCGTCACTGGTTACTAATCTGTTTTACTCAGCAAGTACTTTGTAATTCAGGTTGCTTACTTGTCTACTGCTCTATCCGATACATGTTACAATATCCCAGTTATGAGAGCGGAAGGATACGCACTGAAGACGAATAAGTCGAACAACACTGCTATGAGGTGACTTGTGAATATTAGGTTTAGTAGATTATAAGAAATGTGTAAGTAAACTTGTACTGACGACCACGACTTCTTCCTTGAATTTCAGGGCCAATGGCATGCCTCAGGCATTCTTCGCGATGAACGGTATCCTGTCTCATGTCGCTCACGCTGTGCATAAACCGCTCGAAAAGGTAAGTTTCATCCCAGTCTAGTAGATACTCTCGTCCTCTGTTACCGGGTAACGGAACTTCTCCCCGAATTCCCACGGCCAGCATCAGTGGTTCTCTCCGAATTCTTCCATTGGGAATTCAAGTCTTTCCTTGCATAGCGTGCGATCGCGTGCGGCGAGCGCGACACGCGTTCGGGGAGAAGATGCCAGACCTCTGTTACTCAGTGATGGTCCCCAATTGGTTGTCGAGGCGGTCATCCAATCTGGGACGTGCTATGCCATGAGGTGTTAAGGAACCAGCTGTACTGACAAGGACACTACAGCTGTGGTTCATTTAACGACTTACGTAACAGTAACCTTTGCCATTAAGATAATGGAAATGAATTTCAACAAGGGTGGAGGAGTACGGTTATCCGGGGAGCCGATTCCAAATGACGCCCTATTGGAGTGCTGGAATGAATGCCTGGAATTCAGTGAATTCGATAGAATACGTAAAGATGTCAACCGATTTAATGCGTGAGTTGCTTAGATTTTAAAAATATGTTATCTTTTGGAAAGCTTAGACTTGGTTGCCGCCCGCTGTTATCCTTGTCTATTACACTCTTAACCAGCTCTCACACCCAGCGTTTGATAGGGTTGTAGTTTCCTTCGATAAAACCCCTTATTCTACTTTTTTGTTGGTGATTATTAGAGGAATTGGGAAGTGACAGCTTTCAGAAATAAAAATAGTGTAGTTCCCTTGATTTTGAGCAGAACACGAAGGTGGCAAAGAGATTTTTTGCCTACTGATTGAGAATGTTGCGCACAGTGACCTTGTCACGGCGTGTCGGCGGCGTTGGCACCTCTTGACCTGAATTAAGCTACTACCTTGCTGGTTCGCGCTCTGCTTCTCGGACAATGTAAATTTTCGACTTTCGACGTCACAAAGACCAGAATCTTTAAAGACTTACCATTTACATACCCAGTTATGGACAACTTGTTGATCTTTCTTTTATCTTAGCACATCGAAGAATGTGAAGCTAGGGATAGCGCTGAGTGCAACTCGAATGGGTTTAGCCCATCCTGGAGCAAATGAACAGGTGCGAATTCGTAAAAGGACATTACGTATTTGTGCCTTTTGCTTTTTTAACCTTATTTAGACCTATTACACATTACCATGTTTTATTTCTGATACTTCCTTAAACTTTTTTCCAGGCAGAGGCGTTGGTGCAAATTTGTATGGATGGAAGCGTTGAGATAAAGATTGGAGGAATTGAAATGGGACAAGGACTGAATACAAAGTGTATACAAATAGCCAGTCGAACGTTGGGTGTCAGTGGTTAACATCAAAATTTGATTTATTTCATATCACTTATTATATATCTCAAAATCTTACCTTATCAGTCAGTACTGTAGATTTATAATGGTTCCTTCGTTTGTATGTACCGCCCTTTTGGCAAGGAACTCAGATCAGTGATAAAGCGAGCAGGAAAAGCTCTTAGTTACTGTAAACTTTATTTTTTTGTGTAAAATAACAACCACAACCAAAAATAATTTTATTAACAAATTTACAAGGATATAATCGAGTGTATGACCTGTTTGTTAAATTGAACAATTCATGAAACGGCTACAAAGTATCGATACATGGTATCATTTACTATTTAGTCTGATTCAAAGTATGCTAATTTTCCTTTTTTTGTCGTTTATTGCTTAGTTACAATGTCATCAATGATGGTCCACCCACAGCCGAATGGGGATCGCGCCCCTGAGGTGTTGACAATATGTGAAATTAGACATTATATATTTGGAAAAATACTCTTGCAATCCTTCAAATCCCTTTTTCACGAAGAAAGCGACAGCCGTTCTTTTCAGATTCCTATCTCATTAATAAAGATAGTCGATGCAAGCACGGATAATACATGTAATGATCCGGCAGCCGGCGGAAGTCAGGATGCAACAGCTCACGGGCGAGCTGTTCAGGTTTGCTTATGATTTACTAGTTCGTAAACATATCAGTGATTAGTACCTTTTGAACGTCTTTAGGCATGTTGTGAGCGGTTGATGGTCGGTCTACGTGCAATTCTTAAAGAAGAACCAGATTGGTGCAAAGCCGTTCAGAAAGCTCATAACATGCGACTACCATTGAAGGCCTCAGAACATACACGGTGAGTCCTGGAAGCTGTTTGACACAAAAGTTTAGTTTTATATTTTATTTATATTGTTCCTTTTTTAAGTATTGATCGAGAGAAACACGGAATTCCACTACAATCGTCTGTGTACAACACTACTGGTGTGGCTTGTATTGTTTCACAGGTCAACTGCCTTACTGGCGACCATCATGTACTGAGAGGTTTTTTGGACTTAACGTTCCCTGTCTTAGTATTCTATGGAGTTGACACGGAGATTTTTCGTTCACAACGCCTGACGATTTCTTTTTATTTTTTCTAGTTATCGCATTATTCGTTATGACGTTGTTGGTGTTGTTGAGACCGCTTATAAAGGCAGAATCATTAGGTCAGCAACTGAATAACTGCGCCTTTTTTAGGCTCTCTGAGCATTCATTTTAATGGGTTTATAGCGATTTTCTTAGCTGATCTATATTTATAGACCAATCAGCCGTGTATTCTAGGGTTAACATATGTCTATAAGAGTATATTTTTGTAAAAAAAAGAGAGGTTACTATATTTTCTTAAAGCACACGCAATTACATGCAAATAGTTGATAACTGATAAGTTAATAATTAGTAATGCAAGGTCAGTAAACTTAATACTACCCTTTCAGCTTGCCCTGCTGCGCGCCTCTGAGCACTTTTGACTGATGATAATTTGGTTTAATTGTACTATAAAGAATATAGCTGATTACTCAGTAGATAACTCAAACGTTGTAGTGGGCGACAAACGGCTTGAAGCGTCTAATAGTTGAGAATTGGGTGCCGGAGTCCTACACGTCCTCGCGCAGCCTCACGAATCAAAAGATTTAGTTTTACATTAGTCACCCCTTTAAACTTAAAGGTTACCAAATTGATTTTGCTTTACGTGTTAATTGATAATTTCTTTTTTAGATTTTATCCGTGGATATTGTAATGGATGCTGGCCGAAGTTTAAATCCAGCAGTAGACATTGGCCAGATAGAGGGCGCGTTAATGATGGTAAGAATTGATAATCATACTAAATGGTTAATTTTATTAATTAGGAATTCATATAACCACATAAAATCAGTACTGATGTACATTCCCTCATTCTGTCATATCCTCACAATTTAGAGCTATGGGAATTTCACATGTGAAGAACTGACTTATGACGACAAAGGGAAAATGTCGGACGATATGTTTTCTAGATACAAGTTCCCATCGTCCCTAATGACCCCGAAGAGGTACGTTCGAGATGGCTACAGATTTTGTAACATTGCAGGCGGATCTTTCGAAAGTTTCAAATTTTTAACTTTATTCATTTCTTGTTTAGTTTCTAACTGTCGAATGAAAAATCCATTAGCTCACATATACAATGAATTGCTATGCTTATCGATTATTGTTGACTAGTTTTACTGGTTTATTTTCGTCAACAAGTACTTGTCTATCTTTTTTGTTTATTCTTTGATTGAGAAAGGTCATATTAAGACCATATTCAGCGAGTTCCTTAATCACTGATAAGCGGATTGTCATGCAGTCACGAAAGATGGGACTAGTGAATATGTAAAATACTAATCTAATTTACTACTTAAGGAACTCTCATACTATCGACTATCATTTTGAGCCGCAGATAGAGCCTAGGAGCTTTCTAACTGGGAAAACGTCATTTCACTATTTCTGTACTTTAACCAATCCGTGTATCAATGAATCCACCATAGATGAATGTTAAAGATGATTAGCTTGAGATTNTAGTTCCTGCTAACGCCTCATTTCTGTGAAATGGCCTCTGAACCTGTGGAAAGTTCAAAAAGGAGCGCTTCAAGGCAGGTCCCATCAAGCAAACTGTTTTTATTGTCATTTGTTTTTTGATGGGAAATTAGGCAAATCGGTAGGCACCAAAATACGATCAAAAATATGATACAAAAACACGTGTGCTTCTCAAACAAGTTCTGCCTTCTGATTCTTTCAGAAGATACCATGTGGGTTTTGTTACTCATCGAATCAAAAGTTTTTGCATATTGTGCTCTCCAGTTACAGATTATTTTTTTTGACATTTATCTAAGTGAATGTTCATGAGTATCTATTGAGTATTAACGCTCTCTTTTTTGATTGAAAGCGAATTAGGTTCGTGTGTGAACTATGGTTTCATTTTTTTCATTGCAAGGTTGATCGACTGGTCTCATCTAGGTTGACCCGTTTACGGGATTCAGAAGACAAGTTTGGTCTCCATTCTTGCAAACAACTTCTAGGCTACCCATTTTCCTCGGTCTCCGTTCAAAGCGACCTTTATGGTAGTCAAAATATTCGCTATTGAAGATCTGTTTTTCCTGTGTTTATTGGTACACTTTGAGGAGTCAGGGGTAGTGGGGTGATCGTGAACCGTGAATTTTGAACCCATTATTGATCGCGCTTTTCTGCAAGGTAAATAAAAAACACTGGTAGCGGAGATCTTGGTTTTGGTGGCATGAGCTGATATGAACAGTGTTCACGTTTCGTTATCATTTACCACTTAGTTGCGAAAGCTCACTGCTCGAAAGGTCGACTTGTGAGCAGGGCACTGGGGCTGGTGAACGTGATAGCTCGGATGTAGATGTAATAGTATCATTTCTGTCTGAGGAGAATCTAGCCGGACTGGTAACTGGCTGGTTTGGTAACTGAATTGAAGCGAGTTAATCAATGGTAATAAACGAAAAGGGCGAAATGCATGTTTCTAATGATCGCTGAGATGTTGAACTGAAGTCTTTGTTTATGCAATGTTTGATAAGTAGTGTTTACTTATAGGTTCCGTGTAAAACTCCTCAAAAGATCTGACGGTTCGGAAGGACAAATTTACTCTTCGAAGGTAATTTTTCTGCTTTTTTTTATTCTTTATACTACTGCTAGCCGGGGCGAGGTGTCATAGCTTAGCGCCACGTCGCTGGGTTGTGAACGCTTCGCTGAAGTGCTCGCACATTTATAAGATAACGACAGCCAAAAAAAACCTGCGTTTTCATTCGTTGCCAGTCTCACGAACATTTCTGGATATATAAAGAAGTAACATCCTCATGACGGTTCATTTCCAGAGTGTTGGCGATCCAGCAACGGTGCTGGGCGTGGGCATATACGCTTCACTTCGATACGCCATCAATGCACGACGTCAAGATATTGGACGAACAAAGTTCTTTGAAATTGCAGCGCCATTGACAGCTTCCAGAATACTCTCGTACTGTAATCCTCCATGAATAAGTAAATGAATTGTATTTACTGATAAAGCGAATATTGAAACCAGTGATAATGTATGTTCTAGTCATATACTCGGCGTCGTATTGCAACACTACTATTGTTTGCCAATAAAAAGTTAAATTTCTAGGTCTTCAAATGTTTATTCGGAGGCTTTATTCCCATCTAAGATTTCTGTAGATAAGAATAGAGTTTGATTACCGTACGATTGGTTACTTGTAATTACTTCCACCTCTGGCAGTTGCGTAAATGTTGATACTACCCTGTTCCAAACGATATTTTTACGGATCCACTACATGACCGAAGGATTTTTCGAGGTAATTGTCGTAACTGGAAGACGGTGTCGGTGGAGTGTGTAAATAGGCCACAAAATTTTGAGTTGTGCTTTTTAATTTATTATGATGATTAACTTACAACTCTTACTTATTTACCTGCGTTACTCAAGTATATTTTATGCACAATAGCAATCTATCATCATGATGCGACCTCAAATCTTTTTTTAAATGGTAAACAGGTTACCACTCTGATAACATACTTCACGTCCTAACCGTCGGGCAGATTATCGAGTTTCATCGTTCAACAACACCTGTATGTGAATCATTCTCTAAATATTACTCAAGTGGGGCAACTTTTATAGTGCTTACTTTCATAGTACCTTCATGCATCATTACCAGTCGATACTCTAGCAATTTCTTTAGCAGACCTGGTTTTCACCCCAGAATAAGTAAAAAAGCGACCATATTCGAATTTATTGTTCATGAAAACTTTTCCTCCCTAACTTTGAAGTTATGGGAGTTTTAAATTAGTTCTTCATGTGTGTCAAAATGGCAACTCTTATGAACGACTATAAGTTAACACAAAACAAAACTCGTATAAGTATGTAAATAGTAGAATTTGGCTAGAGTACAATTTGTGCAGGCCCATAGCGGTTGGCAGACGGACGAGCGGTCTGTCACACGTGATATAAAATGGTGCCATCGTTTGCCATGAAAAAACAACTTTTGATGGGAAAAGTGCGTCAGAAAGTGATGCGAAGAGGTTGGCGACACGAAGGGCCCACAGTGCAAGCCACACCCCCCACGGATGGTATTATGCCTTAATTGTTGACCTCCTTTCGCCATGTTGACCTCTTTGTCGCTATAATTTCCGTTTTTGTAAAATTGCCTGCCAAATATCACGACAAGCTACACTGTCACATTTCCAACTACTGAAGCCCCGCCTCTAGGCCTTACTGCGCGGAAACTCCGCCCATGCGGAGATATGAATCAAGTTTAGGGTCCATTCCTGACACGCATTAATAAAGTTTTGTTGTCGCTACTTTTGAGTATGAATCTTATTACTTTTTCTAAACCTAAAAAGGGACTCTGATCTCAAATTTGATAAACCTTTTGATAACCCTTGTTGTACTGCTAACGTTGGAACCGGTTTGTTGAGCATTTGTGCCAAACTACTTTCTTGTAAAAGACGACATACTTTCTTTATGACGCATACAAATAGATTTGTTTTGAATTCCATCAAGTTCAACCACGTATTTCTCGCCATTTACTGGCATGTTCTCAATTTTGACCGCTACGACCTTCCCTATCGCTAACCAGTCATCGATTTGGCGCAGTTCATGATTGTTATCAGACATTCAAATGGTTGCCTAGGTGTCTTTTTCGTCCATCGTTCCAAATGAAAACCAGTGATCTTCGATTTAACGTCAATGGAAACGATGTCTGTGCGGCGAATATTGATCCCGAGACGACGCTAGCCTCGTATCTACGAAATACACGTTAGTTTTGCCTCAATATACTAGTTTAGTATTGATTCATTTTTTAAATTTTTCCCCTAAAAATGTAATTCTCATTTATTACTGAGTTTTCTGAGTTCTGTTTACTTTACTGCTTTGCCTCATTTTGTTTTTGGCACTACGTCTTTTTTCAGTTGGTTTAACTGGCACAAAACTTGCATGTGAAGAGGGAGTATGTGGAGCATGTACAGTAGTGATTGGAAAATGGGATTACAAAGCGAAGAAGGCGAGGTGAATTTATCTGCTCGGTTACTTACACCTCACTCACTCACACATTTCCTCTTGTCTATTTCGCCACTCCGAAGATCTTCTTGTACAGTAACCCATACTGTGTGTCCTAGATGGAATGCAGGCACTCATTTTATTTCCTTCACGCACCACTAGCTCCCTGACGATCGTGATTTCCTCCTCTAGCCTTAGCGTGTAGGTATCACTGTATGAGCGAATCCTCGAACTGGCGTTTTTTCTTTTGCTTCTTTTGTTGCCGGAGAGCCATGGGTATTTGTCTTTTGTCCACGACTGGGCAACTGCATTGATCATATAGCACAATCAGAAGGTACAATACGAGATCTTGTAATAGGAGATATGATTACAGGTATATAGCAGTGAATGCCTGCCTCTTTCCTTTATATATGGTCCATAACCATTTGGTCTTGACTGTGGAAGGAATTGGGAATACAAAGAAGATTCATCCAATTCAAGATCGTCTTGCTCGTGGCCATGGTACTCAGTGTAAGTTTTACAATTCAACAGCGTTTTACAACCTTTTTTTTNTTTTTTTTACTCTATTAATCATTACTCACCTTTACTGGTATCATATGAAGAAGTACTAGTACTATATTGTTAATGGTTCAATCTACTCCGCATACAGAAACGCTTCGCACCATCATTTTGAACCTCCTGCTTGTGTCTGAAACTTTTTGCTTACCTATTTACTTACTATTATTTACTCTTGTTTGATCTGCCTTTGATGCCGTCTATTCTGATTTCCAGGCGGTTTCTGTTCCCCTGGCTTCGTGATGTCAGCCTATGCTCTTCTTCGTACGAATCCTACTCCGTCTATTCATCAGATCAATCAAGCCGTCAAAGGTGAGGCATGGTTTAGAATAGTTCAGACGAAAAATTTTCCTGCTTCATAGAGATCATGCTCTTTGCAGATCGCGGGATGTATTTTTTATGTATATATCACTATATTTTCGGGATCCTCCCTACTTGTTCTCCATTCTTAGTTTGTAGAAACCACTATATTAGTGCTATATTAGGGGATCCTCGGACTGGCACTTCTCCTTTTGCTCTCTACGTATCCAAAAATCTATCGGCTCGCCTTTTTCAGAGCCTGATTTGGTTGAAGCATGACACTACTTCCCGATCAGAGATCAGTTGCTATGTTCCGTATAAGGTGTACACGAGTGGGCGGCCGTACGCACCCATAGGACAATGATCAGTTGTGTCCAGCCCGGTATTTGATTCCCATCGTCTGAGACGATTACATGCGCTCGGGAGAGATCTGTCACGGGGATGGGGCGGTGACAAAATAGTGTCAATCCATGCGTAGGCGCCCCCTTCAGGATCCATCGAAGTTTATATTCCTTTAGCAATCTGAATATTTCCTTTTCTGGTTACATATAGTTGGTCACAGCTGAATTGCACATACTTAATACAGTTTTGAACTCTAACTTAAAAATCATTTCAGGGAATCTGTGCCGTTGTACTGGATATCGACCTATTCTTGAAGCTCTTTATTCGTTTAGTGAAAGTAGTTGCTGTAACGGAGTTGTAAGTTAATTGTCTCATAGTTACTACAAAGCACATACCACCAATTAGCTGTGATGTACAGTTTACTTTTGATAGGACTCATCTTCTTGTCCGTGTAAGGAGAATGGCATGATCGCTGGTCAATCAAAACTAGTTACTTTTGGCGATTTTCCGAAATTCGACGAAACTCAAGAAATTATCTTTCCTCCGACCTTAATCGTGAGTCATTTTGCTTTTTTAGCTTCATCGTGAGTCATTATATTTTTTAAGCTTCCACTCACGTAAGTATTTTTTCAGATGGGAAAAACAACAGACGATTTGTACTTGGAAGGTGATCGAGTAACACTTGTAACACCGACATCGTGGAAGCAGTTTGATGATTGCATAAAAATGGACGATAAAGTGACCCTTGTCTCGTCAGGGATGATTTCCAGACTGAGTTAGTTTTTTTTGAATGTTCATTAAAGCTATCCAGTAAATAGTAGGCTATGTTTTTTTTTTACTTTTTTGATTGTGTCTGTTATATAGTTATTCGTTTTTGTGATAGTGGCCCGGCAAGTTACGTAATTCCCAAAGGGCAATCTAGATAATCCAAAAGGTCAAAGACACCTTATCAAGATGAACAGTGGCAATATTACATCTAGAGGTTAAATAGAACAACATTGGTAACCAGTAAGGTCTAACAAGTAAGATGGTAAACTTGCTGGAAAACAAAAAGCCGATTGCTATGCCATCAGACGCACCAGCAAATTGGCGCTATTGTTTATTTATTCAGCTGACTTAAAGTTGATTTTTATCTCTGAAAGCCAAGTCGGAAATAGGAGTGAAAGCAAACGAGTAGATAGGCTTTCGATTCGCCTTTAAAATGGACTCCCATTTAAAAATATCCGTCTTTCAATGCGACTTCAAAGCAGTTCCTGGGAATCGCCACCAAGAGACCAGCACAGTCTCCATGTAGGCCCACCGCTTGATACCGATCTATTCTTAGTTCTTGATAGTATTCGATGATGGATCAGCATACAATGTTAGTAGGTTATACTATTAAGTAATAATTGCATTAGGAAGCAAACTAAAGAGTAGTATGGCCAAATGTGAGAAGTTCAAATGATCTGCATAAGGCATAGTTACTTGCTGAGATTGGAAGGTGGGAATCTTAACCTCACTCCTGCTCCGAGAGACGGGGTTCATTGACAAGAATGGGGACGTCCTCATCAATCAGATTAATTTCGCGAGTATCACGACGTCACTACGATCGTAGGAGCCCTAGCACGGGGTGTGTTGCGATTCTATCGCCGAGATAATAGGGTCACGCCGCTCTCGCAGCCCGCAACCCATTGTGATTGAGATACACCTATCGTCGAGAGCATGCCACGAAACCACGGAAGTGGGACTTCAGGAATGAGGCTTGGTCACTCCTCTGGGAGATTAGATCTTTTTCCAATATTTCAATTCTTATGCGAGCTTTTTATCCAAGCACGTTCCTGCGCTTTTAACTCTCGAAATTGCTTTTTATTTTTCAATGCAAAAATAAGTGGGAGGTGTGAACCAGAACTGCAAAAACGGTCAACTAGTGCGCGACAGCCGCGTGCGGCGAATCGATTACACATGACCGATTCAAATGCCCGCCTACCATCATGACGAAGCGCTCTCAGTTGCTAGGAACTGATACATTGGAATTCGACTTCACTTTTGCCTTACAGTGCGTTGTACACACATTTTGCTTTATAACCTCATTACCTCTGCGATAGAATCGCACGTTCCCCCTTTACCCCTTGGCGTATGGGTAACGAGTTGGGACCCTTTGTGGTTCGTGATCATAAACGAGGCATCAGAAGAAAAATATGACTGGAAATTTCTCCAACTCCTTTCAGAACTTGCACAGTCTCCAAAACAACAACGTACCAAATGGGTGAGTCTACATAAACTTCCCTCACTGAAAGCAGTCGAAGTGACCGAAGGTGGAGTATCGATCGGCGCCGCTCTAAGCGTTTCGGATTTCGTGAGATCTGTGGAAGAATTTTGTGATCCATCGATTAGCACACCAATCAGAAACCTATTTGAAAAGTACTCTTCCACACAAGTTATGAACGTGGCGGTGAGTTTTTTTTTCTACTGAACTGCCCCGTTATGTAGATGATTTTGAGACCGTTTAGAGTTGGGTCGGCGGCTTATTCACAGGAGCAAGCGACATTTCGTCGGTATTGCTGGCTTTTAACGCGAAGCTAGTAGTTCGAGAACTGGCAAGTGCCTTCACCTCAGGACAAGTCTCAGATTTCATGGACGATCAATACCATATGAAGCTGAAGAGTGGTGACGTTGTAGTGGCCGTTGTGTTTCCACGTTCACAGGTGAGTTTTCTCGTCTCTACTTCATTTACAAGATGTTTTCTTTAGCTCAAATATTGCTATTTTAAAGTAACACCCGGGTGGCAGGTTTATCCAGTATCCTGCAGGTACTGTTAAAAAGCATTAATTAGGTGGCCCTCTGTCACTTTATTTGGGTTTGGGTTACCTTATTCGGTTGTGTAAAAGTGAATGGCAGATATACAAGTTCATTGAGAATAAGGTGTTTTCGTTTTATTCAGTGGAATCTATATCTGGGATATGATCATCAAGGAGTTACGGTTAATATAGCATTATTTATCAATGTTATGGTTGCTCTTGTTATTCTGTCCAATTTTACTATTTATTAATATTATTATATTATATTATATTATATTATATTATATTATATTATATTATGTTATATTATATTATGTTATATTGAATCCGTTATCATCACATTATATTATAATATATCTTTTTTGAACCACAGTTTATGCCGTAATTGAGAACGACAAAAAGGAACGAATCTGCTTGCCTGTATTACTTTGCTTCCAGTCCTATTATTAGTATTGTTCTTTACTATTATTATTGTTGTCAAATCTATGATCGTCATTGGTTAGCTAATTATTTAAATTTGATTCAAAGTTACTTTAGAAGAATGTGCGAGTGTTCACGTTCAAGCAAGGACAACGCACAGGAGCGGATACCACGGTGGTCAATTGTGTTGGTGTGCTTCGTAGGAAAGATAACATCGAAAATGCTCGTGTTGCTCTATCATTTGGCTCGGGAACAGTGCTGTGTAACAAAGTCAATGAGTGCCTGAGTGGAAAGTAAGTTAATTATTATTTGATTTCATGACATATTTAATCGTAGAATTATTTGATTTTTTACTGCTTTGGGATGAAAGAAAAGACAGCCTAAGTGGTCCTGTGATCATTTTTTGTCAATAGTCATCGAAGAACTTTGTTTTTGATTAGCTGGTTAACCGTTACCATGCGAATTTGGTTGCGAAAGATGGCGTACAGCCTTTACTTCGTCTCGGGGGAAGGCGAGATAGCTAACCAGTGACGATGCGCGGCAATTTTTAGCTAGTTGTCTCACCGTCTAGGGCAACTAGCCAAAAGTCGCTGCATTACGTATGCGTATCTACTGCGCTTACTGGACTGGTTGCCACCCATCCTTTCAGAAATTTAATGACCGAGATTCCTTGAAGAGCCAGAAAAGACTCAAAGCTCGAAAGTTCACTGCCTTTGAGCAGCAAACTGATCTGAGATGGCTTCTTCGAACTGCTAACTAATTGCACCAATTCAACGATTCGGTGTTTCAGGCGCTTTCAACGATTTGGTGTTTCAGGCGCTTTGATGGGTTGGTGGGCAACAATGATGAGCTTCTGAAAGCTTTGGATGAGGACATCGCCCAGTTCTCGTCAATTCCCGATTTTAGCTACAGGAGAGCGCTAGCCAAAGCTGCTATTAGTAAGATGTGTGAGGAACTCAGCGGAAAGGCTACTGTGCAGAAAGAGATCCCAGTAGATTACCTTCAACTATATACAGTAAGTAATAACGTGTTTCTGAATAATAAGTTGTAATGTGTGATAAGATTTACTACAGCGGAGAGTTTAGTATTAACCGATTTGACGTATTCAATATTTTTTACTTCAAAGGAATGGTCAAAAGGTGATTCGGATGCGTGTGGGAGGCCACTGGCAACTCAGTCGTCCGACAGATACACTACCGGTGAAGCTGTCTTCGTCAACGATATGAAAATCAAAGGTAAAAACACATACAATGTACATTTACGATAATAGTACCAACCGAAGAAAGTGGACTACACTATTATTATTGATTGTTTATGAGGGAGTATTGTATGCACAATAGAGAGAAAAGCTAGCTGGCAAGTGTGACAGCAGCATTTATTTCTAGTCACGGTAGCAGCCTGCAATTGCGTACCATGAACATGTTGTACAAGAGTCTATCCCATCATCCTAGTCACGTATACGACGTCTCCAACAACCCATCACGTAGAAGACGCTTCGAAAAAGGCCTTGGGCAAGGGCACGGTTGATGGCTGAGGCAAGTAGTGCAGTTATAGCGAACGGCTACTGTGGCAAACCTCCGTCAGACTGTCAGAGTAACACTAAGGGTAACTACGTGAACGTGCTTCCAACGAAAAACGTGCTAAAAGCAAGCCCAGAGTGCCAGTGTGACTAGCGCTACGCCTCTGACCTTGGTTCCGCCCACAAATGTTCGTGTTAGTGGCCTTTTTCCTCCGCTCGTGTCCTATTTATCGGCATGACCTAGACTCTCAGGATTTGTAGTACTGTCCTAATTGTATGATTTATTGAGTAAACAGAGGTGGACATGTATTGAAAAAGCTGTCTTTGGATCACATGAAGGCGTGGACTTCGTTATCAAGGTGAATCAGCAAGCTAGCTTGTGAACTACAACTTTTCTAAGTGAATCATCTGATCAAAAGGTCCCAGATGGAAGGTGAACTAGTTTGTTTGGAAATCTTATCGGTTTCAGTTTACCAGTATTAGGTTCTACACCACCGACATCTTGTGTGCTTTTCCTATCCGCAGGTATGGGACTTTAGGCCGAGGTTGAACGTTTTCCAGTAATTAGTCGTCCTTTGAGTGGCTGAAACTTCTCAAATCACAATGTAAAGTAGTAATTTAAATCAAAACATTTAATGTTGTGGGACTTGTCATTGCCGTGAATCTTTGCAGATGTTGTCCATGCTAGTGTCGTCCTTTCAACAAAAGCTCATGCGAAAATTCTCTCGGTGGATGCGTCTGAGGCGCTGAGTATGAACGGAGTTCTGAGATACATTGACATCAATGTAAGAGTTTTTCTAGCTCATTTCAATTTCGCTCAGAAGCTCGCTTTAAAAACCTCTAGTCATTGGATCGATGTTCTATGTATAACCAAATATCGGATCCTTTGCGATAGTTAGTTCTTCCTCTTGGAAGCAATAATAAGTGGCATCCTCATGCTATCTAGTTCAGCCGTAATATTTTCCATCGAATCTTGTTCAGGCCACCGGGCCGGTTCTTTCTTTCGAAATTTTCTAATTTTTGGATTGAGACTTGGATTCCAAGTGCAGAAACGCACATCATTGAGTTCCTATTCAATTCCTAGTTCAAATCCCATGTCCGACTTTCGATTAACCTCGGCATTTTGAAACAACTTCGTCGTAGATTGTATTAGCCTTCGAGGTTTTTAGAAAAAGTTAGTTCAAATGGTATTTGAAAGCCGTCAATTTTGAATGAGGCTCACATGCGTGGCGCATCCGAAAATATGTCTGGTTGCGGCTAAACGACTAAGCTATTCTGCTATGTGCCAATTTCAGAATTTTCATATGGGTGTATTCCAGAGTATTCCGAAAGGAGGCACAAACTACCCTGGTATGCTACCCGTAAATGTCCTTGGACCTGATAATACGCCAATGTTTGCCGATGGAGAGGTGAATAAGGACATCTTTTTAACCGATTTCCATGTTAATTTATTTCAAAATGTACCATTTTCGAATAACAGGTACTAGCAGTAGGCCAAGTAATTGGTCTGGTAATTGCTGAAGATTTGGAAACAGCACGGCGTGCAGCAAAGCTTGTGAAAGTTTGCTATGAAGAACTCCCAGCAATACTTACAATGGACGTAAGTCATTACTAATAACTGAAAAAAAGTTTTTTGTGCAAAAGTGCTCAGTGTGAACGACCGATGGTGAAAAGCTCGGGGATTTCTTTTTTTCGCATTTTCGAGACCCTCTCATATTTGAACGACTTGCTCTTTTACACTTTCAGGAAGCAATAGAACAAGGTTCATACCATGCAGAACCACTTCTACTTGGCGTTGAAGAAGAAGTAGTACGAAACGAGCTCAGAGACTGTGAATTTGAGATTGAAGGTATGATAGAGATGACCGTTGCATATATCTTGAGCTTCCAAAAGACAAAGAGCCTATGGATGGGATATCGCCTTCCAAAAGTTCCTCATAGAAAACCGATACCTTTTAACTTCCATAAATTTTTTGCGAAAGTTTATGGCTTTTCTTTTTTCTCATTTCAAGAGCATGCCCGGCGCTCCAAACGCACCAGACTTTCCCGGAGGTCTGAAATAAGCGTTTTATTGGTAGGCTGTAGTGGAACATAATCCATCCTTCCATACTTTCTGCATGCTTATTCCAAATTGAAATTTTCTTGAATCCATATGTAACCGATATCTCTGATTGGTGATTGGTAGCTGCAACCAATCGCAGGCGTCCTTAACATGAGCCACGCCCCTGCCTCTGCCCCCCCTGTCCCAATCCACTGGAGACGGGCAGTAGGAACGGTCTCGTGTAATCGATTCGCCTCACGCGGCTGTCGCGGACCATTCGCTTCGCCGTTATCACAGCTCTAGCGTTCTTGCAGCTCAATCGATATGCTATCATTATTTTGGACATGATTCTACTGTTGGTTCCTTTGTTCCTGTATTTCTTACCTGCTGCTGCATTCTGCTACATTTTTTTGCTCGCGGCGTCCATCTCGCCGCGACGCGACAATCCCGTTACTACTGCACCACAATCCAATCCACAGGTTAGAGCAACCGTTCCAGCACGCAAGACAATGAAGCCATTAGTAGAACTTCCCTGGATGAAAGACCCAGAAACGAATTTTCATTGCAATACCTTTTCTGAGTATCCGCTTCAGGTACGACGACAACTGGTGGTCAGGAGCACTGTTATATGGAGACGCAAGGAAGTATAGCTGTCCCGGGAGAGAATGATGAATGGTAATTACTTCACAGCTAGCTCAATCAGTTTTCTATGCGTCCATTTTGAATTTATGTCTTGTGAATTAAGGGTTATTCATTCTTCAACACAATCAATGAATATGGTACAGCTGTACACATCAGCGGTACTGAGCATTCCAGCAAATAAAGTGACTGTTAGAGTGAGTAGCTATTGTTTTACTGAATGAACTGTTCTGTCCCTTGTTGACCTTATGGTAAACACAAATCCTTTTGTGGCCTGGTAACAATAGGCCTTTCCAGGTTAAACGTATTGGTGGAGCATTTGGTGGCAAAGCTTCTCAAAGTTTGCCTCCTGGTGTGTGGGCAGCAGTAGCAGCGCATGCTGTAAAACGTCCAGTCAGTGTTATGCTCACTAGAAATGAAGACATGCTCATAACTGGGAAACGTCATCCAATCATGGTAAAGTACAGGTAAGAAGGCCTTTGCATGAAGACTGAAAACATTGGTCATAATCGAAATTCTGTGCTCAACTGTGATAAATATGGTAATTCATAGAAGTTTAGAGTCGGCTTAGATCGGGATGGCACGCTGCGTGCCGCATATCTCAAAGTGTATGTTGATGGAGGCTATGCTAGCGATGTATCACATATGGTAAGAATTTTACGGTGTAAAAATTGTACTGTATGAAAAATAGGATGTGTAGTCGGTACGATGCTACCGGCGATATGTAGAGTCTGCAGAGGGCGCAGAGCGCCTATGATTGGCTATTTCATACCAATGGCCAATCACGGACGATTTTGCACATTTTGTGCTGATTAGTTTGGTTTTGATGTACTTATCTTTTTTTATAGCAAAGTTCCATGTTGTTTTGCTTTGATCTTTCTGTATTACCGAATATTATCGCATTTTCTCTCTCCATTCTTATGACTTGATTCAGGTAACATGGCTGTCGTCAGAAATGGCCGACTGTTGTTACAATTTTCCGGTAATGAGAGTTGAAGGATATACGTTGAAGACGAATAAGTCAAACAATACTGCGTTCAGGTAATTTCTGAGTAGTATGTAAGTAGTATGGGAGAATAGATGTGTGCCTATCAAATTGTTGAATCATCACTTTCAGAGGTTTCGGCGTTCCTCAGGCGTTTTTTGCCATGAATGGTATCCTTTCTCATGCGGCTAGCTCCATATGCAAACCTCTCGAAGAGGTAGGTCGGAAGTTGTAAATGAAGTAGTGCTCCCTTCTTCTTCCCTATGGAATCTCTAAAACAGTGTCGATTGAATTATCGTGGTTTCACAGACCCCGAAGATGCTTTCCAAACAGTTTACCCGACTAACTCAGAAATCGCTGTAGAATTGAGTGTCGTTCTGATTTCAGGCTCCTCTGCAAAACTGACCTTTTCAATTCAGATAATGGAAAAGAACTTCAAAAAAAGTGGCGAGATACGATTTAGCAAGGAGCCGATCCTCAATGACGCTCTCTTGGATTGTTGGAAAGAGTGCATGCAGTGGAGTGATTTCAAAAAAAGACGTGAAGAAGTCGATAGTTTCAATAAGTTGGTGAATTCATTTTGATCAGTACATATATAGTTACACGGGGAATCGGGTAATACCAGTTAGATCATAAGTATCAGTGAGGGCATGGTTTTCAGTACGGTGGAAGAGAGCTAAGAACTGTTGTTGTCATTTATTACATGTCAATCATGTGTGAGACAGTCAGGCCTGTTGGGTAAAGTTCTTCCTACTTGAATCAAAAGTTGACATCACTCGATTTTGCATGTAGCCTCGTTGCCAATAATTTTGATAATCTGAAAATTGGCGGGTTCTCGCATCGCGACAGCGCGCGTCAGATGCTCTCTTCTTCCCGTGCCCGCGAAAATTGGAAATTGTTATTATTGATTTAAATAATTCTTCCAATATAAGTGATTTCTTACCTTCGTTTTTCAGAAAATCGGAGCATATTAAACGAGGTATTGCAATGGCTGCTACGCGAATGGGATTAACACATCCTGGACCACTTGAACAGGTACAATTCCAGTGATGACAACAGTACCGTTATTTTATGGTTTTATTTGGCACAATTTGGTAAACCTCATCTCTAAAGTTCGCTTTGGTTGTAAAAGATAAATTTAACTAAGTACTTTGCATTTTAGGCTGCAGCATTGGTGCAGATATACATGGACGGTACGGTTGCTGTATCGATTGGAGGAGTAGAAATGGGACAAGGACTGAATACGAAGTGCATGCAAGTAGCCAGTCGTGCTTTGGGGGTACGTTTTTGTTGAAGTAGTAAGTAAACAAATGAGCCCTAGAAGTACTCCGTCGGATTTCTACACATTTTGGCCAGCGATCCCTGTTGGGGGAGTTTATCACAGTTCTTAACTTCAGCTTTACGGTAAATTGGCTTCTTTACTCTGGCGGTAGCCTCTGCACCGCCACAGGACCCCATGTTATTTTCGGGGCCGTGGGCCTAAGTTTTTGGTCAATTTGTCGAACTAGGGAGAGAGATTGGGTGTGATGCACCTAAATCGGAATATTCGCTTCGCGGCGAGAGCGAGGTCGCGCGCGTAGCATTATGACGAATAAGCAGTGCGGCGAGTAAGGAATACAGGTACAAAAGATGTAAGAGTGGAATTGCGTCAAAAATAATATTAGCAAATCGATCGAGCTGTGTGATTCGCTAGAACTGCAATAATGAGACATCTAGTCCGCGGCAGCCGCGTGCGGCGAATCGATTGAACGAAACCGATTCAACTGCCCGTTTCTCGAGCAAATTCAACTGTAATACCATCATTCAAGAGGAGCAAGGCTGGAAGTGAAACTATTTTATTTCCAGATTCCTATTTCGCTTATAACGATACTTGATGCAAGTACAGACAAAACGTGTAATGCACCTGATACAGGAGGAAGCCAAGCGGCAGATATCCATGGCAAAGCGATCCAGGTACAATTACTGTAATAGCATACTCCACCGAAATAGGTTACGAGGCTGACCCATGTTCAAGATTCTCCAGGTGTGTTGTGAGAGACTGTTAACTGGTTTACGTCCGATTCTTAAAGAGGAACCAGATTGGAAGAAAGCCGTGCTGAAAGCTTATAATATGAAATTACCGCTACAAGCTTCGGAGCATATACGGTAGGTATAATGGGAATATACACAAATATACACAAAACGCAATTTAGAAGGATTTACATTATGAGTTTTTCAGTATTGAACGGGAAAAATACGGAATAGCTGAGCATTCGTCCACATACCAAACCTCGGGTGCCGCCTGCATTGTATCGGAGGTCGATTGCCGAACAGGGGAACACCAAGTATTTATTTATTTTACCACTTTTTACTATACCAGGGTTTTTAATTGGTGGCAGGACACTTTTTCGATTTCGTTTGTTCAGTTACTTTCCGTGGATATTGTAATGGATGTTGGACGGAGCTTAAATCCAGCTGTAGACATTGGTCAGATTGAAGGCGCATTCATGCAGGTGATACATTTACTATGATTGATTTCAAATTTTATTTCAAATTCCCATTTTTGCAAATAATTTCCATCTTACTCTGCTGTAATTCAGAGTTATGGAAATTTCACTTGTGAGGAATTGACGTACGATGATAAAGGAAAACTTGTAGAAGATTCTTTATACAAATACAAATTACCGACACCTGCAATGACTCCAAAGAAGTACGTTTGTGGAAAGTATTTAGTTTTTGTGATCACACTGGGGACTTTGGTCTCTTCTTCCATTCGGAAATTGAGCTATACTCATGAATGTTTTGCTTTTGTGCAGGTTCCGCGTTAAACTCCTCAAGGAATCGGATTGTTTTGAAGGACAAGTTTACTCGTCGAAAGTAAGTATGTCAAGATTTTGTGTAGTGCTACTCTCACCATTGGAGCCGCGTTCCTAAGATATGAGCCTAAGCGGCACCTAGTGCTTAGGCGCTCTGCATACGCTCGCGTCATTGTCACATTTTGCGAACACGAATGGGAACTCCGGCTTGTGAAATCCGATACAAGGGATGCTATTTATAGGGTATCGGTGAACCGCCAATGATGCTCGGTGTTGGTACCTACGCTTCTTTACGATACGCTATCAGATCACGACGTGCGGATCTTCGCATACCAGGTTTCTTCCCAGCCACAGCTCCATTGACAGCCGCAAAAATAGTGTCATATTGCAACTACGAAGATTGTTAAATTTGAATTTAGTATAAATTGCATGCAATGTAAATATTATTAATAAGATAGTACTGTAATAAATCTCATGAACAGGTATATTGAATTGAAATATTGCAATGGAAATGTTTTTTTAAATAAAAGGTTGAATACATACGTGCCTTACAGTCTACTGGGCTTCCTTCAGAGTTGGTCATGTGCAAGTCAGAGTCGCAAGTTTGATTAAAGTGGTGGTAGCGGTAGGTGTCTGCCATTTTGGGGCCACTAAACTAATACTTTAGAACATTGTGGCCAGAGCTGAAAGGTAGGGCCTAGTAACTGGCTATACTTTTGAGTAATGCTTTATTGATAGTGATGGCGCTTGTTAAGTTCGATACCGGACAACAACTGCACAAACCTTTGGTAGAAATAACCGGGATAAGGCTGAATGAGAAATTTTTACAAAAAGGGGAAATATCGAGGGAAAGAACAAGGGTTGCTTCACGATTGAACTTTCTGATCAAAATCGAAGAAGTTAATCGATTTTCGCCCGTTCAACTTACTTGCTCTTGAAACCGGGCCAATAGTTTCGTTCACATCTCTAAAACAGACAAGATTTATGACAAATACTGACAAAACCTCATTTGAATTTATTTATTCGTAAATAAACAGTATCAGGTAAAAAAAAAAGAATATTTACACAATTTATGTATGTAAATTCTCATTATACACTTGGAACATGGTCGTCCGAGTCACCGCCGTATCGCACAGTAAATGTTTAAGTATTGTAATTAAAGTAACTAGAAAGACACTTCTCGATCACCAGTCGGACCCTACATTACCAATGTAGACGTTTAGTTGAGTGTTGGACGTCGCATTTTCGAGCAATGGAGCATTTGTCTGGAAATTAATGGAATTCACCAGTAATCGTACTTTTACTGTTTTTGAACTTTCTAAAACTCTTTTTTAACTCTGTTCATTCGAAATTAGTTTTCAATTAACTTCCACGTCAAAGTTGACAACAGTGCCCAGAACAGATAATCGTTGGTGTAAGCGGACCTACAGTCCTTCGTTTTGTTATCTAAGGGTTATTCAAGGGTAGCAAGGAGCGTTGCTATCGCACCCATGGTCCGCGGAACCCGGATCGAATCCTACTTGGGTCGCCCTAGCCTTCTATTACTCTAAAGTCGAATACTTCTATGCCATTTACTAGTTAGGATGAAATCACTGACTCCCATTGAGCATGTTGTAATTGTTCATCTACTGGCTACTGCAGTGCATGGTGTGAGCCAAATACCCACCCAAAGGAGACGGAGGTTCTTGAAGGAAGTAGGGTGCGCGGCTTATCCTTGAACGAGACTAGTGAGCATTAGTACTTCGAATATCACCCGTTCAGATGCTCATGCCCTTCAACTACTGTTTGGGAAACAGATATAATGATAATTTCTCGAATAAATGCAGGGGGACCTATTTTCCTAGGCTTGACATCTGTCCAACGACTCTGACAGGCTGTCAGGCAATGAAGGTTCTGACTCATCCATACAACCAGTCTCGTAATAAAGCGAATCCTACCTGATTGAGGGCGTTATGTACACATTGCATAATCTGTGCCCATTTCTCACGTGTAAATAGATTTCGGTATTCTGGTTGTTGTGAAATGTCGTCTAGTTCTTGGATACTAGTGGTCATCATTAATTGGCGCCTGAACGCCGCATCTTTGAGGAGCAGTTGTCGCCAACGACCTAAACAATACCGATATAAATAAAGGTAATAGGATGAGAATTTCAAAATAGTCGTTCTAGACGTAGAAGAAATTCAGTACAGTTATAATTGTAGTGCTGTTGTAACCTTTATGGAAAAGAAAGAGTCTTTCGCGGTGGTTCAGAACTTTTTCGAACTTCACTTCACTTTTGCTCTAAAAAAACTCATGTTCCAGTTACTAATGATAACGATCCCGTGAAGTTCGAAATAAAGTAATGCAGGCCGCAGCGTTTCTGATTGGTGGATCGCCTACAATGACCAATCACAGGGACCCTCTGCACGCTTCGCCCCTTACTAGTTTGCAGTCGAAGATAGCCCGGGCCCTTCGTCTTCGCAGTCAGGCAAAAGTCCTTGAATGGCTAGTACTTCTCATTTTCAACTCTTTCGAGATTTTCCTGTTCCACCTCAATTAGAAGCATGTTGAACATTAACTAATGGGAATCGACGATTGCTTGAGTCTTCACCTCTGAAAACTAGTGTACGTAAAGTGAAGCATCACGAGAAGTTCCTACAGCTCAGGGGCAAGTATTTTCCTACATATCTGGACTAGTTCTCGAACGGATGAATGAAGGGGAAAACTCCTTAAGTAAAGTGACCCACCTAATTCTTGTTCTGTCAACTTTCGCGCTCCAAATCCTCGTATTGGTAGAACACACTTCTCAAGCACTTCAATCGAGGACACGTCACGATGTTCAACGACTAATTCACCTGTAACAAATCAATAACTACTAAAACAATCGAGCTGAGAGTAGTGAATAGATAGAATATTAGTATAATCATGAACAATGCTTGAACAGATTCCAAGCTCCAATGTTTATGAGGTTTCACCTCTGTGTGACTCTTCAGGTCTACTTTGCTCCGTCGTTTCAGCGGCATGATATATTTCTGTTATGGATCGATAGGAGGATATTCCCGAATCTTCCGGGCGACCAGCTTCCTGTTCTAGGGATGTGACCTGAGCAAAGGTTCATTCAGAATCCGATTTCAGCCGCAAGAACTATAAACGAACCTTAAGACTGCCACTTCTATCCATTGGCGATCCCGCTATCAGGCAGTGGCGCCATTCTGAATAGCTTTTCGGGAGCATCTGCTGAAACAGAAAATCAAAAAATAGATGGATAAACATAAACAAATCCCCATCAAAATTGGAAAGACCACTTTGCACCCTTCGTTGGTCAAATCTCTTACGGGACCACATACTGCCCCCGTTCGGCACTGTGGGCTGTATGATGACCTAAGTAGGTTACCGATGTACGAGTTTATCGCCTTTTTTGAGGCGGTCCTGACCATCCATGACCCATGCATAGCATGAGAGGGTCAGGCCGCCTTTGCATGGAACCGGTAGGAATTTGACCATTGGATCGTCCGCTTGGGACCATTCGTTTTTTTTTCAGGCTTCATGGCATATTATATAGCTTGGCCTACATCGAAAAAATCAATTACAGCGGTCAGGCTAAGAGGGAATCACTTTAAGGGCTGTTACCTGTATGTTGGTATCAGTTCCTCCAACATCGACCCCTCGTTCGCTGAAGATATCTGCATCATTGAACTCCAAACGTGATGCATAGTGACTTCGTTGGCTGTTACGTTGTGAATGTGTTCGCTGGACGTATTCCTCGAGATTCGACCTGGAACGAATTGGGTCAAATGAGGGAAGAAGCAGGCATTCATGAGCTGATTGACTTGTTTATGCTCAGATTCGAACTCTAATCTCGAAGTGAATAGAGATTCTGGGGTTCTACTGGGCAAGGTAATCATTCATAAGGTCTAGGTAAAGTACCCGACGCTGTCAAAAGATTTTGATGAGGCTTCCTTTCAAAAAAAGACCTTTTGGAAATGTTGGACTTATGGATTACTGGGCCAGGAAGTGCTTTTACCAGCGCTTTGATCCTTTTTGACTAGTTTTACAGACTAACCTTATGAGAAAAGATGGATGGTGGTTATCCTGAACAGGTAGCGATTCAGGTTTGCATCCCCTGCCCTCGGGAGCGCCAATCGGCAGTACCCTGGCTTGAGGGTCAGTGGATTATGAAAATACAAATAAATAATTGAATTTTTCACAAAGAATTGCGCTTCGTTCACGGGCAAGCAATGAAAACGCTGATAGTTTTGTAATGCAAATATGATGGAGAGTTTTTTACGCATAATATTCCTATTAATATTCATAATCGTATTAATTGGCGATTCAATGTAGAGTACATGTCCATGGCTTATTCTCAACTTGCCATTCCAACTTACCCCGTGACTACTCCATCTCCATATTCGCCCAATTATTTTCAAAACACTTATTGTACTGAAATTTGCACTTTACCTCAAGTTCATTCCGTTGGGACTGGCTCCGTCAAACGTACTCAGGTAGTCAGCTCTATTAGAACTGGTCTGCCTGCTGGGAGTATCTGCTTCAAACTGCTTTCTTCCATAAAAACCTGACGAGGCATAGTGCGAGCCATTACCACTGCCATCCCTAGACGTTGAATAGATATCTCGCACGTTCTGAGTGTGTTCTTCACGACTGGAATGTTTTTTTTCTTTCACATCATTCATGACGATTTCGCGGCCAATATTGCAACCAATGTGAGTAAATGTGCCCTACTTATCCACATTTCTTCCGGAGTTTTTCTTGAATATCCCACGAGGTTTAGCCGACGGAACTGAAGAGGCGCTACGTGTCGCCTGTGCCGTTGA